CCAGACGTTTGTTATTTGCAATACAAACACCGCCCGGGCTTTCATCTGTGTAGTAAACTGTACTGAAGTAACTTATTCTCATAGNCCAATAAAAACTCTTTATTTGTTAAGATGTGTGTGTAACTAACACAATGCTGACAAAAATGTTAGAATATATTAATTATTGGCGGAGTGACAGTGTTTTGAAATTATAAATTCCTCAAGGATACGCTACTAATTGTTATTTGTAAAATCGGGAGCGCACGAGCTTTCATCTTACCATTAGCATTAGACTTTTAAACTTATCAGAAAAAAACGTTTAGTTGCTGATATATATATAACACCAGTGAAAAATTAGAACAATACGTTATTTTTGGCATAGTTATGTTGTTTTGAAATTAGTTACTTCTCTTACTGCTAAAAATTACGCATGCTATTTGTAATAACGGGTTTGCTCCGGCCTGAACCAGTTTCATCAGCTCTACCAATTCAGTTGTTAAAGTATATGTATGAAATTATCACAATTCTGAGAAATGTGAGAGTATGTTAAAAATTGGCATAGTTATGGTGTTTTGAAATTAGTTACTTATCAACTGCTGAAATCATGCGTGTTATTTGTAATATTTGGTTCTCCCGGGCTCTCATCTTTATCGTTAGCCAATAACAACTCTTGATAATTGTTTAGTTAACAAAATGCTGAAAAAATGTTAGAATTATTAGAGGTGTTTTGGTGTTTTTAAATTAGATAATCTTCAGCCAAAGGCTAAAGCTGAAATCACGCTTTTTATTTGTAATATCGGGGTCGCCCGGGCTTTTATCTCATTCCTTTAGTTCCTGATACCCATATTGCACCGGTGAAAACAATTAGCCGGTGTTAATTATTAGCACAGTTATGTTGTTTTGAAATTAATTACTTCTCAACCATATACAGTACCGCTGGAAATCGTGTTATTTGTAATATCGGGTTCGCGCGGGCTTTCACCAGTTTCATTAGGTCAGCTAAAACTATTCAGTTGTTAAAGTATATATAAAATTAACTAAATTCTAAAAGAAAATTGTGAGTTTATGTTAAAAATTGGCATAGTTACGATGTTTTGAAATTAGTTACTTCTCAACCATAAATAGCTGCTAATTCACACATGTTATTTGTAATGTCTGGATCGCTGGGGCTTTCACCTGTATCGTGGCCATTTACTTATCTGGATGAAAATATGTTCAAACTTTTATTTAAGGCGCTTGTTAGACCACACTTAGAATATGCCTCTAGTGTATGGAGTCCATACAGGAGCAAGGATATTGATTTAGTTGAAAACGTCCGGAGACGAGCTACCAAGATCATACCTTGATTTAGTAATTCCGTCTTTTCTTATTGCAGAGTTACCTGCTCTTGTGAGCAGGTATTGATTGTTACGTCACTTGTTTGTGAGAGTAACGTCATTATTTTTTTACAAAACGACGTAATATTCTCACACAAACCAATGACGTAACAATCAATACCTGTTCACAAGAGAAGATAACTTTGCAATACGCAAAGACGGAATATGAAGTATACAGAGCGTCTGCAGAGTTAAAATATCCAACCTTAAAGCACCGTCGGATGCGAGGACACCTAATAAACGTAAAACGTTTATGATCCTAGAGTGACTAGAAGCATGTTTCAGTGGGATATTAGTAGTGGAACAAGTGGGCATTCTTACAAACTTAAAAAAAAACCACTGTCACCTTGATTTAAGGATATTTTTCTTACTTTCCGTGTTGTTGATATATGGAACAGTCTTCCACATAATGTCATTAATTCATCTAATGTTATACAGTTTGAAATTGGTTTAGATGAGTACTGTAAATGTGAAAATATAACTTCTAATTTTTAGTTTTAAAAACTGTTCAATTGACACTTGGGAGTATATTTAATGTCAATTTTGTTGTATATACTGATATGGATATAGAGGCTTGTAGCCTGCTTCCATAATGTATCATAATAAATCATATTAAATGATTAAAGAACTATTTCGGTTTCCGATCGTGGAAACTATGGCAATGAATCATGATGTCACAACTGATAGTGAAGATGACATATATTGACATTTGACATAACTAGGGGTAACCAGAAATGTTTGCTAACTAATATAGCAGGTTAATCCAACGAGTCGGGAGTAAGGAAACCTGTAGGGGTTGTGGGAGAAAATGATTTCAAAGAGATGTGTACACGTTATGTGCTGCATCGAATAGGTACATTACGATATCATTAGTCTTCTATTTTGCAGAGACGTATATACATACGTCTCTGTATTTTGGCACCTAAAATAGTGATTAAAACCACGGAATTGGATTAGATTTGCTCTCTAAGTCCGTGTTAAAACCAATAGATTTAATGTTCTTCATGTAAAAAGTAAAGTGTAACAATGTTCATATATACAATTCGTCAATTTTGTATCTAATATACAATCATAGTATAACATATCACAGCGATTAATTTATAAGTGACCAAGATACAGTAAAAGTAGAAATTAGTTATACCGGAATCAACTAGAAAGTTAAGGTTTTGAGTTGTATGTAATCATTAATTTTAAAAGGCAAATGGATTCGAGTTTGCCAATTACCCGGGATTTCCAATGCAATTGGGCCCCTGGCCCATGGATGAGGTACGCTAGAGGACTCAAATACACATGTCCCTTACGTAAGCAGCTCTTGAAGTAGTTCTCACACCAGCACCATATGTACACATACGCACCCAAAAAATATTGTCTTAACTTCCACCATAAAAAAAAAAGATTCAAAATAGGTCACGGTATATAATTAGTTTCCTAGAGTTCTTACCACGATCAGTTAAATTGATAAAAACATTTTTTACGTCAAAATTTAACGTTGTATATACAGGAATGAAGTCAAAGTATGTTTTTTTATACCTGGATAAAAAGTAATTTCTCAGTTACATAGCCACGGATAATAATGTTGAAGCGGAACTGGAATGGGTCGTTTGCCTGCGACCAGGATACTCACACAATTGGCAGAGGATCCATCGCCGGAGAATTCACGGGGTCCCGGGTTCAAATCCCGGTCTGGCCGTGCATTTATCTTTTTCTATTATAAAATATTTTTCTAACAAGATGTTGAAGTGTTATTAAAAGAGCTATGTCGGGTTGCTATGCCTATTTCCTCAAAGATGAGACCGCTAGTGCACGCGTACCACCGTGTACTGTTAATGAGGTATTTTTTATACAGGTAGCTATATCGGAATCCTGTGTCTAAGAAAAGATTAATGTAAACAGCCGAATTCAAGGCCATGGTTATTGATATATGCGTTTCACGATAAAGACTCAAAAATGCTTATTTCGCATTTAATTCTATGAATTAAAAAAAATAACATGCTGTATGCAGAGACGTATATATATTACAGTGTAATATAAACACAATTAAGATCGTACAATCATTACCAACAAGTTTTGAAAGGATTTAATTATCATTACTACTGCCTGCGCCATGCCGTTACCTGCTTTCTTACAAAACACACATCTTGATTTTATTTTTCCTGCACCTATGAATGGTAAAATGATATATGCAATTTTCGAATAGCATGTCTTACACGTGTATTGCGATCCTTACTTTGTGCTGCAGTATTCCTGCATTTCAAACAAATGAGACTATCCTCAACGGTGAATTTTCCCATATTTATGGTAATGTTTGTGGCTTGGCTTTTTTTTTATTCTGACCCAACAATCCCACATTTTTTTGTGTATTTCAGCATCCTTTGTTTGTGTGTACACAATAGATAAGATTACTAGTGCCAATTGGAGGGTAAAACAATTCATAAATATCTTTGAAGATGATGTCTTATCTACAAAGCGTAGCTGTAGTGTACACGTGTACAGTGATTTGTTGACATGATTCCATAGAAGATAAATCAATAGGTATGTTATTAAAATATAGATAAAATGTACCATTGATTTGAAAAATATTTAATTACTTAATGAAGAAAAAGGATCACATGCCTAAATATTCTAAAAACTAAATAAAGAAAACAGATATAAAGGAACATCAACGTGGATTCGAGTTTTCTCCGTTCACTTCGTCTGGTCACAAGTTAACTGTGTTACACATTCGGCTACACCGGACATAGACGAAGATGGGAATACAAACTGTTTTAACCCAAGAAACACGTGTCGCAGTTAAGAAACTCGCTCACCCCTGTTTTTCATTATTTTGAGCACTTTTCCAAAGGAGGACCACTTTTCTGGAATACGATTTGTTTTTGCATAACATCACAGAATAAAAAAAAACTTATTCAAAAGTTGGTCCTCGGATGGGAGAGTGTTGAAAGTATTTTTTAAGTCTGGAAAACCCCGTCACTTTCATAGATATAGTGAATATGGCTATATTTGCGGTATCATATTAAGAAAACCTACTATCTCAGCAGTTCCAAAATTCATATTCAATTGGTTTTATATCTATTCTATGCATTTTCGCTGCTAGAAATTATTTACTCTTTAAATCCGTTTTCACAAATGCCGACTTAGGGAAATATGGACAGTTTTCCACCATATCTCTTTAATGTTAAACCACGGACTTAGATAACTAATCTAATTCCGTGGTTAAACGAAGTCAAGAAAAAAATCTAAGAAAAAATGAACTAATATAGACTCCAACAGTTGTATTATTATTGTATTTATGCTATGACGATTTACAGAAATTTAAATTACTCCTGTGAAGTAGAGATGCATATATATATCACATAATATGATATATTGATCTCTGCGTGGAAGCGCTCCATGAGTATGTCAGTCTCTTCAAAACCACGGACTTAGATAGCAGATAATCTAATTCCGTGTCAAAACATAGAGATTTTTTACCGATCGGTACTACCGCGCGCTGTGTGCCATCGGGAACCAGCACAACCGGCAAGTCACGATTAAGTTTGCCCATTTTACTTCCGCATACGGCTTGAGGACAGACATCTTTAATTCATTCTCATATCCACTGAGCTACCAGCGACTGCAGGTAACTGTTACATGGCATTTCTCTCAAAGCTGTGTGAACGTGTGTATGTTTATATCATGTAGGTAACCGCTAATGAATTGATTCCGAAACTCCCCTGATGGCCACAGGCACAATTGTCGAATTGAAATTTGTTGTGTTCGAAACCGTTATGACAACTGAAAATAAACCAGCATCTCTGTGGTAATATTTAGAATGTTGCGCAACAAGGTTTCCATTTTTTTGTGGCGTAACTTGACGTAAAACTCAAAGGTGTATTTTTTTCAAACTAGTCTATCGTCTGAATCCCAGACCTGAAACCAGTGGCAGTGATGTGTTTATCATGTCTCCTGGCACGTGTGTCTATTTTTAGCGACAAAGCAGACGATCAACGTCACAACAAATAGGAAAATCTCGTCTGGCTACGACCTCGGGTAAGGAAATAAGTGTTAACGTCGTCATAGCACCAAAAGGGGGAACAAAGTTGTAATAGGAAATATACTAATAACGTGAAGGTTACCACTTTTCATTTATATGATCATAGAATGATTCACTGATGCAGAATTATATTCTACAATATTGTATCTATAGGATACTTGGGCCGATTTCACTTGGGTAAAATCGGCTTGGACGATATAACCAAATACCCTACATGTAGGTGGTGTTATGGGTACATATATATGGTTGCCTTATTTCATTGAACAATGGATCGTTATACTTGATATGAAAAGGCCGATTTGAGAGGAAAAACAGAAAAGATTTGAGTTTACTTTAAAGGGAACTGGAGTAGGAAGAGCATGATTTGCGATGACCTTTTCTGAAATTTTAAAAAGTAGCAGTATATGTACTCGATCTTGGTCCATATAGTTGTGCATGTTCAATTTTGGAACTGATCACTGTTATTGACAAACTACATGTAATACCATAGTAACTGTTCATAAATGTTTAGAAACAATTATACTGTAAAGTCATACATTCCCTTGCCTAAAATATTCATAAAAGCGTCTTCATGCAACACTCAACGAGTGACTTCAAGCAACGACAAGTAATTTGCTAGACAAAATCTTTGAAAATACTGATGAAAGCAATTAAGCGACCTCAGGAAATATGTTGTTCATAAGACATTATAAATACACCGGTATACCAAAACCTGATTTGACTGAGTTATGATGGACTGAATTCTCACAATCTGTGGTGATATATGTGTGTATTGAACTGTACAGTTAACAAAGTGTCATCAGAAAAAATCTTAAAGTCAGCATCATCGAAAGATATGTTATTCACAACATGTCTGTGATGCAGTTATATACCAAATTTCAGGTCGATTGAATTGAAGACACTCATTTTCGGTTGAAGATGCTTTTTAGCAACAATGTAAAATATACATGAAACCACAGTTCCTTGTTATTTTTTGTTTTGTTTGGCAGAGTATTTATTATAAGCTCACCTGGTCCTTTAAAGCTCACGTGGTCGGTGAGAATTAGATTTAGTCAAATTCCAATAAGTGGTTAAGAAGGAGAAGTCGGTTAAAGACCTTGGTTCGGACCAAGGTGAGCTTATGCCATACCGTGGCATCTGTCGTCTGTACGTCAACAATTTCTTTAACCGACTTCTCCTTTTTAACCACTTATTGGAATTTGACTAAATTTGACTGGAAGCATTCCTAGGTAGTGTGGATTCAAAATTGTACAAATGGTGGGGCTGACCCCCCCGGGCTAAGGGGGTGGGGCAAAAAATAGCTTATTGGAAATGGTTGAGATCCCCACTCTGTAACCATATATACAAGAAGAATGCACATATGCTTCCAGGATGGCCCCCGGGATCTGGTTCCACCCTTGGAGACTTAACCCCTGGGTCATAACTTTGAAATGGTTGAGATCCCCACCCAAAGACTATATATACAAATGCTGGGCATAAAGAGACGAATGCAATCATATTATAATTGACCCTGGGGTCTGGCCACAACCCTAGGGACCTAGTTTCTTAGTCACAGCTTGGAAACAGTTGAGATTCCCACCCCATAACCATACAGAAACTTGCTGGGCATGACCAATCTAATGCTACAAGGTTTCGCCTTAGGGTCTGGCCCATTCCCTTGGATCTTATTAGGAGAATATTTTGCCATGGTCACTTGAGATATCCAGGTGAGCAATACAGGCCCTATGGGCCTCTTGTATTCATCTGTTCTGTGCTCCTGAGTCTCGGAGCTAGTTTTATAAACAAAACCCTTGACTAGATCACACAGAAACAAAGCACAACTTATCTGTGTAGACTGCAAGCATTAGAGTTAAAAAAACATGTTTTTATATTAATAAAACGTCTACAAAATAATTTATAGTTTGTTGACACTTGGCTGGTTAATACCACCCCTAGGAACAAATTTCTGATCAGCAATTCTGAACAAAATTAATTTAATTAGAAAATGCCAGTAAAAGTAAAAGTAAAACTTGGTTAGAATAATTATGATGTCGGATGGCAGTTAGATGGTATGAGAAAATAAGATCCTTCGCTATCTTCAGAGGCTGGAGGGGTGGGGCCAAAATGGGGAAAATGGTTAAAAGTTCAAAAATCTTTATCAGACTCGGATGTTGTACAATCAAATACTCGTCATGGATAGAAAGGTCCTTAGGTGCATCACATGTACTATCCTTGTCTGTCAATACACCTATAATATTATATTATAGGTGTATTGACAGACAAGGCTAGTACCTGTGGGTGCATTATCTAAATTGTAAATTTCATTATCCCCCAGGTCATCTGCTCTTTCTTTGGGAGAGGGTTAAGTTTACTATAGTTTGTTATTAGAAGAACTTTCTTTTCAGAGCGATAAGTATGTTCAATATTAAGTTTACGAGTGAAAACAACTCGCCTTACGATATATTTACATTCGTTTCCACCGGATGTAAAGCGACGCCTCACGTCAGTTCACTTCCAAAGCACAACATTGCAATAGGAGTTGTTCCCCTTTGTACGGTCCGAGCTAAAATTTGCTTAGATTAATGGCTTGGCGTGGGATAGAGGGAGAATATTTTCGAATGCATGAGATTTATGGCTCCCGTGGTGTGAGACATGTTTCAGTGTGAGTAAGGATGTCTCGGCGTGAGATTTTATTTCACGCTGTGAGAGTTGGCAACCCTGGTTTCATGTTTCATATGACATGAGTTTTATCCGATCATAAAATCGAACGTAAACTGGAATTAAGCGTTATGTATAATGTCTCCCCAGAGAATAATTCCTCCATGATAGGTAACAGATGATTATTCTTGGCAGTAGTATGGACTGATGTCTTGAACTGATTTTCACGAGGTCTGCATATTGTCAAGCTAACCAGGCTTTTACCAGATAGGCCACATGTAATTTTTCCTGTGGTAGTTTGTAATCAGAGTTTTGATTGGTCAAATCAACAAAAGTGATACTTTTCACTTTTATAAAATGAACAATTTTCAATATTTACTGGTAAAAATGTAACTAATTATATTTCTCAATACATTATATCAAAATAATTAATTTGAATAGTTTTTACTGTTTTTTTCCTTTGGTGACATATGACAAGTTTATATTTCATTTTGTTTACATGTTGATTTCCACATCACATCTCAACAATGAAATTGAGCTACCAGTACCTATAATATATAACTCAGGTGACTGCTAAGGCCATTGGGCCTCTTGTATAAATAAACTTTTTTAAGCCGCTCTCGGCAGGAGCCTGGCGGCTTATTGATTTTGTTTGTGGGTGTAGAAGGAAGTTGTGTGGTGTGTTGCGCATGTTTTTCATTTCTATAGTTAAGTTATCGTAAAGAGAAAGAAAGAAGCTATTACCGCTCTTGTTAACTATACCACATGTTACATTTACTGTTATTTTAAATAAATTTGAAGTGTGAATTTTGCTTTTATTAAATTCATTGCATTTAAATTAAAACATATAAATTAAAATGAATGACTTTGATTTATAGTCAATGTCATTTGGGTCAAATATGTTTTTAACCTTTAAGCAAATTCTTCTGAATAACCAAAATGCCATGCATTTTTAGCTCACTTGACCCGAAAGTAAGATTTTACTTTAAACAATTTCTTCATAATAACTAAAAGGCTTAGGGTGCTGATATTTGGCCAGAAGCAAACTTAGATAAAGTGCTACCAAGTTTGTTCAAATAAATGACCTTCACACAAATTCAGGGTCACAGAAGTGAAATATTTTAAAAGCTTAAAACAACTTCTTCTGAATAACAAAAATGCCCGGGGTGATGATATTTGACCAGAGGCATGCTGTGATGAGGGCTTCTAAGTTTGTTCAAATGAATGAACTTCGCCCATATTCAAGGTTACAGGAATCAAATTTTAAACTTTAAACAACTTATTCTGAATAGTCAAAATGCATAGGGTGGTGAAATGTGACAAGATGAAAAGCAATATATTTTGTTTATGTGAATGACCTAGTTTGACACATGTTCAATTTTACATCTGGTCAATTGTGTATGAACCATTAAAAGTCATTTTCATAATATGGTGGTGATATTTGGCAGGTTGCATTCTGGGATAAAGGGCTATAAATTAAAAATTTGTTCAACTTAATGTTATTCTTTGACTTTCAAGCTCATAGGGGTCAAATGTGTTAAAATCTTTTAACATTTTCTTTTGAATGACTTTGAGTCAAGACACTTATATTTTGCCTGTAGCTTTATTTAAGTCCATTTCTAAAGTTACAAGTGTGAGATTAATATCAAGTGAACGACACAGGCCCATTTAGCGTTTTGTTTGTTTAAAATCTGTGAAAAATACTGATTATTCCTGTTCTTGTAATACAATGCCTTGAATGTTCCCAGGTATTGTCATCAGGGTTTCTACACTTCATGTTTCAGGTTTGTACAGAAACATCAGAAATGGCTTCAGATATTCCAACAGAGGCCAAAGACATCCACAACGAATTGGTGTTTTATCTTGGAAGACAGATTAAGAAGGAAGAATTCCATGAACTTAAGAACCTGTTTAGTAACAATAATCCATTAGCCCCAACCGAGGTTGAATTGATTAAAAACATCTATGACCTATTCACCAATCTTATGAGATACAAAACAATAGCTGTGGGAGACTACACACAATTTGTACGGAAACTTGAACTTACAAATCTTGACCTGGTGGGATATGTGAACGAGAAAGAAAATGCAATAAAAAGCATTGTTGATAGAGGTGAGTCAGACTAACATATTACTACATGTCTATATCAATAATATTTTATCAAAATTAAGGTACTCTGCATAATATACCTGTGTAAAATTAGTTTTAATTCAATCATGATAATGATTTTTCTTTTCATTTCCTTTGAAGTTGTTAAAACCTTGCAGATCTAGAGCGACCACAAACTACATATATGTTGGTGTTATATTTCATGACATGAATCCTTGTTTTATACACAAGGTGTTTCACGGGTGTCTAATAATTTTATATTGGGTATCTATTAATTCATAGGTACAAGCCCAGAGAGGAAAAAGTACTTTACACAACAACCAGGATGTGACTTAGATCTGGTACTATATATAGACACTCGAGGGTATAGACATATGAATACGTTGAGAAGTTACAGTGGGGACAATGCAATTAGTCTAATTTTTGAGGCAGTCTGCCCCTTTATCAAATCAGATATATGAAACAAGCGGTAAAAACACACTTACTACTGAATTTCTAATGCTGATGTAGAAACTTATCCCTGCAGCTATATAGTTAGCTAATAGAACCAAAAACTTATGAGAAAACAATGAATGACAAGGTAGAAACTGGTACTTTTATCTAGTTTTCTAATGATCTTTGACTTATTATTGGTAGATCTTTGTTGTATGTATAGATAGTGTACAGGTTATATTTACTGAAAGTTACTGACATATTTGCTTTACTTACAGGTCCATCACCAGCCATGCAACCAAGGCCAGGAGATCAAGGCCAGCAACAGTCTCCAGGTTTGTGATCAGTACATGTTCAGTGGAATGTAAAATGTAAAGTTTGGTCTAGTGAATACTATGTTAGAGGAGGGATGTACTTGTACACACAAGTATACATGTAAGAACATATTTCAGTGACACCCATGCATTGAAAGGACTATGTAACAGTGCTGGTTGTTCAAATCGCTTTTTGTCTGTAGTTTCATCAGTCAGGAAGTCCATCATTCCTTGTCTGAACATTTTTTGCTGTCTGTGTGTCTGTCTGCTTTAAGAGTATTCTGATCAAGTTCCATAAAGTCCAGGGTTTTCTGATTTTTCGCCAGTAGGACTTGAGATTGACTTGAGATTGAAATCTATAAAATTTCCTCATATTAAAGACCTTGACATCATTTCAAGGTCAGAGGGTCAAATACTTGAAATACTTGCAACGACAATTATCTGAAGAATAAAAAGGACCTGAGCCATCATATTTGGATATGTTATGTAAATAGGTAGTGATAACCTTGTTATGGATTATATACTTGGCCCATATAGTTCTGTATGTTCCAATTTCAGAGTTCATGAGCTCAAAATTCATGTTGCAATTTGATTTCCACAACTTCCTAGTTACCTCAGTACCAATATTTGTTCAGAAAGAGAAAAGAAAAAAACCTACATACCAGCATGCGCAACATTCCATGATATTTGAGCCACGATCCCTCTGGGATCTCAGGTGTACTGTTACACTTTCATCATGGTGTCAACAACATCAAGATAACTAGCTCACTTTAAAATTACAGAAATGGAATCATTGTTGTAACGTCTTTCTGATCGATATAAAGATGGTAATTATAGAATACAGAACTCGTGTTACACAATCTTTGTAATATTTTGTCATAGTTCTATCAGTCCAAGTATATAAGCCTGCGTTGTATGTGTATGGTGGATGCAACTTAGTTAAAATTGTATTGAAAATAATTTTATGAACTTATTAGAATTGGAATGATTTTGATTGTAAGTATACATGTTTTCCATCTGTTTCCAGATCCGGCTACTAGGATTGCTACAACAGCAGACACAAGCCAAGCCAAAAGTAAGTTTGACAGCTGCAGTGTTATCCACAGGCCTATATAGCCAGACATACCATCTGATTATATTTTACTAGCAGTTTTCTTTATGAATTTGAATGAAGAAACTAAGTACAGTGGAATGTTCTGAAAAGATATACAACAGCCAGACCAAGTGCAAGAAAGCTAGTATCTCCACCTTATTGTCAATTTATAGGAATACATGGATAGTCCAGCTATCTTTGGTCTTAAGTGACTGGATAGTCAAGTAGCTTCATTATTAAACTTATGGAGATATACACCTCTTTGAATTAATTATAATTCCAGTTAAACAGATCATCAGGTGATTTGGTGAATCGTTTATGTAAAAGATACAGCATGGCTATTTTGACATAACATTGATATAAGGTGTTTGTGAGTCAGAAGACAAGTACCTGTACTAGTTCTGTCATGTATACATGTAATGATATCTACTAGTGCACTATTATGATCCATGGTTTGGTAACTGACTTGTCAAGTTTAGATCACTGTGTAAGATGTAAGTAGTAAGAAAATTATCAGGAATAAATCATCTGTTTATAATTCAGATTGTGTCCTACCTATTTAATGTAAATCTCTTATTTTACAGAAATCCATCGGGACTTAAAACCCATGATAGGTGAGTCTTATCTACTGGATTGGACATGGTTAGAGAAGAAACGCAGCAGATTTCCTCAAAACTTGGACCAGAACAACATACACCATCTAAAGATATATGAAAGTAGTTGTATAGTTCTATTTGAACAAGAATCTTGGTTTGCATATCCACAATCTGATTGAATTTATTCTTTTTCTATTCCCACACTATTTGATGTAGGATTTGACAATAGTTCATAACAGGTCATGTTCTGGTGAATGTTATAACAGCCAATCATTGAAATGCCCTACAAAAAGTATCAATATTTCAAAAACATGTAATTAAACATGACTTCTGTATTGAAGGTCACCAGGTCATGACCTCTTGCCACGTCATCATATCTTACATCATAAATATTGTAGAGGAATAGAATGAAAGATTACGTTATCATATCTTACATCATAAATATTGTAGAGGAATAGAATGAACGATTTTGTTTAAATCAGATTGGAGTTATAAGCTCATCTGGAACAAAGTACCAGTGAGCTTTTGTGGTGGTGCTTCATCTGTCGTCGTCTCTGTCTTTGATCAATTTTCGCTTTAAATGACATCTCCTAAACCGTTAAGCAGAATTGAACCAAATTCTCAAATCCTTATGCCAAGGGAATCAAAAGATTTATAGATAAAGGGGGTCCCCTTTCTGCCACTGGGTGCTGGGGGCAGATTTGCATGAAGTGACATCTCCCCAACTAATGGACAAGATTTAACAAAATTGTTTTCGTAGCATCTTTAGCCCGTGGGGATCAAACTTTACACAAATTAAGAGCTGATTCTTGGGGGTTGAGAGTTTAAGGATCAAAAGAGGTTGAATTGGAAGTTTAACTTTAAATGACATTTCTTCCAAAATTACATGGCAGGTTTAAGAAAATTGCTGTGGTAGTGTCCTTTACCCATGGGGATCAAAATTTACGCAAATGAATTAAATCAATATGAAGGGCTGACCCTCTTAGGCACTCTCCTCCCAAAGTGTCGGTCAGATTTCAACTAGATTTCCAAAATAGCCAGGTGAGGGATTCAAGGCCATAAGGCCTCTTGTTCTGTAACAACTATAAGTTACATCATTCATGATTGTGATGTCTCCGCAAGATATTGAACATCGGATTACTGGCTTACTAGTCTGACCTCTATCTATTGGGCTAAAAGGTCTCATAGCTCATTTGATAGAACACAAGACAAGTAAAACAGAGGTCCTGGGTTTCATCCCTAGCAGAGACATTAGAAATAACTACTTCTCTTAGAATAAACATGCCATGACTTAGTATTGGAACATAAATGAATAAACATTAATTTAGAAAGAATTTCAATTGATAAACACTATTTTACGGCTGAAAATACCACATTTTGTGACGTCATACTAGACGTATTTGTGACATCATGATTCATTGTGATTTTGAAAGCTCTGGAAACTGATTTTTGTTTACATAATGTTTTGTGAGAATGAAGTTTTTAAGTTTGTGTTGATTGGTTAGCATAGCCGGTTACATATTTTTCCTATGATTGGTAAAATATCAGTCGATATATTTTATGATACTAAAATTAATTTGTTCATTCAACTCCTCCTTTACAAATGATTCCCTACAATATTCTGTATTTGAAAGTAAAATGAAAACAAATCTCTGATTAAAGATTAAAGTTATATCAGTTTCATTCTTAAATATCAGTTTCACACACTTACAACTTCTCACCCTATATTTTCTATTTTATTTTTTCCCCATGCAGAAACAGCCAAAGCAAGAATTAAAAAAGAAAAAGAGAAAAAATTCTACCCCACCAAAGGTTTCTGTGATGCTAAAGAAAAGCTCCAAAAGAACAGGGTTGTTGTCATCAAAGGAAATACGGGAGACGGTAAAACAGCAATCGCCGTTCAACTCCTTCATTGGCTGAGCCAGGAGCAGCAAGCTGGACAGCCCCTTCAACTTCACGAGATTAAGAAATTAGATTTATTGGCTCCAAACTTAAAACTGATCACTTTTATTGATGATATTTTTGGTGAGAAAGATGTAATGTGTAAAATGGATGTACAAGAGTGGAACAAAAGAATCGAAAAAGTAAAAACACTTTTTCTTGACGAGCAAAAAGAGACCAATTTTCTTGTCATCACTGTTCGCAATGAAGTATTCAATTCTTTAGAAAAACGTTCTTTGGAAACAATTTTTACCAAAGACAACTTAATTGATCTTAGCTCTGAGACATACAAAGTTGAAGAAGAGAAAAAAACACTTTTAGAGCTGTATAAGCCAGAAACATTTTCCTGGTCAGAAGAAGAAACTAATCAAGTTTTAACTTGCGCACCAAACATTGGATTCCCGCAGTGTTGCCAGCTTTTCTACAATTCTGAAGAATTGCAGAAAGAACGAGTTAGATTTTTTGCTAATCCTTTTCATTTCTTGAAAGAAGCATTGTCAAGATTACAAGAATGTTCTGCACTTTTGTATCTCTTCCTCCATGACGGAATGATAAAGGTAAAAGATCTGGATCCAAACAATACAAAAATCAAAGAAAAATGGCTGAAACAAGCCTTTTCAATAAAGTTGATTGGTAAATATGACAAAGCCTCTTTGTTTAATGATAATATGGGAAAAGTTGGATTTATAAAGGACAGTTTCAATGAATTATTAGGCTTTTTGGTAAAGAAGGAGAAAAATTGGTCTGGTGAGGATGTGTACAGATTTAATCATGATTCTATTTATGTTGCTGTGGCACTTTTGTATGGAAAAGCCACACCGATTGGCTACATACAGAATTGTCCCAGCATATCCCTCAGTTATCTAACAACCTCAGACACAGCTACAAACATGATTGTCATATCATCTGATCATTATACAGAAATGTGTGAGCGTCTACTCCGAGAGTTTGAATGTGAGGAGAAACGATATGGTACTAGTATTGGCTCTCTAGATGTATGGAATGATCCTGTATTTGTTGAAAGATTTGTCGGGTTGTTGAATGACAGAAAATATGATAAACTTGATGTGTTGAATAAAGCATGTCATTTTGGTGCAGAAGAATGTGTTTTATCTCTTCTGTGTGAGGGAGTAGAACCTGACAAGGTGACACCATTTAGAGTGTTGTGGGGAGGGAGTGTGAAAGTGTTACGTAAACTACTGGAGTATGACGTCACCCCTACAGCGAGGGATTACAATGACAATGTCCTACATAAGGCGTGTTATTGGGAGAGAGAAGAGATGGTGACGTTGTTATGTGACACTTACCCACACTTGGTACATGACACTGATAGTGTAGGACGAACCCCGCTCCATGTTGTGGCATGGAGAGGAAACTGTTCTATGTTACAGACACTGGAGAGGTATGTACTTAACTCCTTATATAGAGTTGACGACCAACAACACAAGTGTGAGTCGGTACATGGTCGTGTGGTTCATAGGAACTGTGTGTGTGCTCAGTACATGGCTCAGTTAGTGGATGTGTACGGGTGTACGGTGTTACATGTGAGTTGTGAGTATGGTAACAGGGAGGTTTGTTTATATTTATGTCAGTCATACCCAGCACTAACTACAGCTGTAGATGAGGACGGCCGCCATTGTCTACATTACTTAGCTAGTGATACATCAGATGTAGACTGGTTCACTGAGTGTGAATCTCATGTTAAACGACACCTAGAGTATACAGGACGTAAGTATGACATCACAACCATACTTGACAATAAAGGGGAATCTGTTTTAGACAGAGCGAAGGAAAGGGCGTCGTTCTGGGCGAAGAAACGGGGGACAGAAAACAACCCTATGTTAGATCATCTTATTCAAGTGTTTGGTAAATGAAAATGATACTGATTTCTCAATGAAACGTACAATTATAATCAACACAAACCTTTTATAACAATCCTGTGCAAAGCTCATGTCATGATGATTTGTTTTAACGACCACATTTTATCGGTAAATATTATAAATTGTGATGAGTTTTTCAGTCCCAAATTTTGCCGATCTTCTTTACGCTCCGTAAAAATACGGCCCGGGGGGGGGTCCTCTATGAGGTGCGAGATTTTGTGTGTTTTTTCTTTGGAAAATCGTATCAGATTTGAAATAAGAATATGATGTTTTATTCTGTTAATAAGAATATGATGTTTTATTCTGTTTTAAATATTACAAACATTGTCATGTTATATGTAATTTTAAATGTGCTGAAGCATTTTGTTAAATGCTGTGGAAATATTTCTTCCCAAATGAACCCTCAGTAGCAGTAAACTTTGTGATGAATTGTTGATGCATCTTAATGATATAATGATTAACGTTATCTGTCGCTAATTAATGATGATTAAACATGATGTCTGGAGTAAACAGTGTACAGTGAATTTCACATTTCATCTTAACAGACTTTATTTTTTTGTAATTTTCTTTTTATTCAAGATTTTTTTGAGAAAGTCAACAGAAAAAGGAAGAAAAGGAAAATCTGGTTTTTGAACTACAGCTCAATAATAAACAGAATTTTGTGTTTAGATTAAGATTATAAGATAAGCTTCTGTATTAATTGTAAGTAAGGTGCTTTCGGCTTTAAACTGCAAGTAAATACAGCCATATAAATTTACCCTTGGGTTAATTATACTAAGTTTCCTAAAAAAAGTGGCTGAGAAATGAGGGTAATACTCACGACAAAATATATTTACATCTTAGAATAGATGAACTATAATAAGTTCAGACAGAAACTTCAACTTAAATTCACAAAAAAGGGACAAAAAAGTTAGAGTTCAGGCAGGATTCAATACAGGTATGGTAAAAGGGACATAACTGCCAAAAAAAATAAAAAGTCCTTGTGAAAACTTAGTGTTTGCTGACTACATGTATGTGCATCAGTGTATTTTCAAAATATGGAGTGAGAAACTGTGGGAGGAGATGTATTTTATCTACTGACTTGATGATATAAAATGATATAATTTTGGCTTATAATTCCAGGAGGTGGTTCCATTTTTTCCATTCTTTTTCCAGTTTTCTTACATAATTATCCCCCTTGCAACATGCTATATATTTTTGTACAGAATGATGGTCTTTTATGCTGTTAATTAAAGCATTTACTGACAAAGTGTCTTGAAGGCATCTTGTTTTATAAATATAGTGTTTGATCACAATTAAAATTTCATTATCTAGTCTGGTGCCTATTCCTGACTGCGACACTATTCCGAAAAGGAAGGATTCCTTATTAAAAGAAAATGGGATAATTTCTTAACAGACTTGTTAGCATAGTCATTTTAAGGTAACCTATATATCAGATCCCATTTTGGAGTCACTGTTAACTCCTTTGGGCCAATCAGACATGATAGATTCATTTGACTGTTTCTGCCTTTAGTCTAGTCTCTTGTTCAGTTGTTGAGGTTATATGAGATGAGAAACAACAGTCAAACTCTGCAGTTACCAATAAAAAAATACATGTATAAGGAATGAGTGAAATTTTAGGTAAGCTCAATAATATCTTTTTCACATTCTTGTACAATTGAAACGTAATAAAATAAGCAAATTCCAGTATGATTTTAAAAGCAATATCATTCAGTTATTTTTTTGTATTTTTTTTTTTTGTATTCTGTAGCGTATGAGGATTTCAAGTGAAAATTAGTTGTAGGATTTCATATTTGTTTCATGTTAATCTGTTGAAATTAGTGAGGACTGTGATAAATTTGCATACAACGAAAAACTAGCAAATGAAAACTGTTCAATAAAAAACATAACAAATATTTGTCAACAAATTCATTTGCTTGAAATGATCAAAATTACTTTTACGCTAAAAAGATTTTTTTATGATGGCCCATAGAGACAAATGTTTTACTAATCAATTCAAGTATGTTCTTTCATTATCATATTTATTATCATGACATGTTTTTAACTGCACATTTTTAACAGATTGTTCAATTTTTTGACATTTTATGTATTTGTTTTATTTAATTTTTTAATTTAAAACAACTTCTATTAGAATTTTCTTTGTAGTCTAATGTAGGATTTATTGGGTGGTAAATTGCTTACTTTTTTCGATGAAAGCTAATTATGAGAGGAAGGTCACGACAAAACAAGATTTCATAGGCTTGTTCAGGAGTGAAATATATGACTCTTTTATAAATGTATGTGATCACATTAAGCAAGATCCAGAGTGTATTAAACAAAACTGCACATTTATGTATGTTTCCTAATGAGTACATTTTCTGGGCAAGCTTTTGTAATTATTCTCTCAAACCATGATACAAATGAAGTTACTGAGTGTAGTGAGATTATTTCTCTTTTGTCTGATGTATGCATAGTTAATCCTTTTGTCTGATGTATGAGTATTTAATCCTTTTGTCTGATATATGAGTATTTAATCCTTTTGTCTGATATATGAGTATTTAATCCTTTTGTCTGATGTATGAGTATTTAATCCTCCATGCAGAGCAGAATGGATGGAGCAAGGCTGATGTGTTAATAAAATAGATTTTTTTTAAGATAATAATCCCAAAACCAAAATTTACAAAACAAAAGATGGGGGGGGGGGGCTCTGCACCTCATGCATTCGCTTGTGTAGAGAGTGGTGCATGTTTATATTGGGTATATTTTATTGTTTATCTGTTGTTATCTATCTTAGCTGTCTGGTCGCTCGGTGTTATAGGAAACTAAGAGACTGTTTTTAACTGTGATAACATGTGGCGGCCAGATACTGTGTGATAAATTATGACTGAATTTTGAATATTATAATTACCATTTTATATGAAATATTTAATACTAATAAAAAGTTTGTTGCCATGAACAGATTTTGATAATCTTCATGGATCTGTAACTGAAACGACTGTTGATGATGTTGACATATATGTAAATGTGGAACAACTGGGCCAGACTTTTACCATTCAGAAGCTATAGATAGCTTAGTAAGTTAAAGCGACAGTATAATGATCGGGAGTCCTCGGCTTGAATCCTGGCCAGGCCCAGTTGTATTTGTAAACTCAATAGGTTAGAGTGACGGTGTAGATCAGGAATCCTGGGTTCGGATCCTGGCTTGGCTCAGTTATATCTTTATACTTTATAGGTTAGAGTGATGGTTTAATGATAAGGAGTCCTTGGTTCGAATCCTGACCTGGTCCAGATATATTGCTGTGCTCAATATTTTAGTTAGAGTGACGGTATAATGATAAGGAGTCCTGGGTTCGAATCCTGGCCTGGTCCAGTTATATTTTTTATTCAGTTCTGCAGGGGCTGGTTATTAATAAATAATTTCTCACAGGTATAACTATGCCAGATCAAAGTTTTGAATGCATTATTACATGATTAATTTTGATTTAATCAAAATGTTCACTTGTTCCAGAATTTATTTTGTTTCATTTCATAAGGAGTATTGTTTTAAAAATGTAACATCTTCTTAATTTTGAAAGTAAAAGCAATGTTGTTTTTCCCCTATATTTAATAATTGTCTGTATTCTGTATATACCAAATGACTGTTACCTTTACAAAAGTAACCTTATCTGTCTGAACAATGAGACAGATGATACTTTTGTATGTACTTTAGAATTATTTATGATTTAAGTGTCATAATAATTTGTATCAAGTGAAAAAAACGTTTTGTGCTTTCATGATGTAATATGTTTTTCCGGGAATATATTCATCAATTGAAATATTCTAATATAGTTTATATTTGGATAAATAAAGAAAATGTGTTTCAGAGATAATTATAGGATATGGAAGTAAAATGTTTTACTGAAATATCATGTACACATAAATGTATTTGTGAAAACAAACACATGATATAGTGTGTATTATCCAAACAATTTGTACAATAAACATATTTGTATCTAGAATTATTTTTTTTAATTTACTTTCTCACTTGGTCTAAAAGATCATTCTGAGTTCATGCCATACAGCAGCTTCTGTCGTCAGTCAATAATATCTTTAATAAGGGCCATGCATCAAAGATGTGGGTGTGTTATAGCAATCACGGTGTCAGTCAGTCTGTCTGTCCATCCACACTTTCGTTTCTGGAGATTATCTTGGGATCTGCAATACTGATCTTTCTGAAATTTGACATGGTGATACACTGTGAAATGTACGTGTGCAATAGGTGTTCAAAAATTAAGGTCAAGGTCACTGTAACTAAAAATGAATTGGGGAATAGGGTGTACAGTCCTTTTATCGGAATCCAAAATTCTTTTTTTTTTTTTCAAATTTGACACGGCAATCTACTGCGATATGTAGATATGCAATAAGGGTTCAAAAAAGTGCTAAGGTCAAGGTCAACATCACTTACTAAAAAATAACTGGTGTGGGTGGGGTTTGGTCCTTATTTTGGAATCCAATAGTTTAATCTTTATGAAATTTGATCTGTGATATGGACAGTATGTAGATGTGCAATAAATAGTTTAAAACTTTTGAAAGTCAATGTCACTTTTTTATAGAGAACGCTCTTGCGTGAGCTTCATAGGTAACACGTACACATACACGTAAAAGGAACCCGTCATTTGAAAATGTACCATGAAATCCCATAGACCTAGCAAGCCAATTCACTTGCAAAATTTGTGAATTCGTGCGTGCACAAATTCCGTTTATGGAAGCCGCCATTTTGGATCCACCTGATGTAGAACAATTTACAATAAATTGAATCTATTTCAATACAAAAACAAACGGTCTCAGCAGGGTCGTATATATACTGTCCCTGGTCTCAGATAACGTTTATTTTCTTGTTCAATTTCAATTTTGCTATATTTGACATATTCTAGGGGTGCAGAGAGCGAGAGGAATCGTAACTCCTGGATATCGAGACGTAATTTATGATTCGATGTCACAACACCCCCTCCAAGTTTTATTAATTTGTATTTCAAATGATTACATCTAACTTTTATTTGCAAATGACTGCGATGAAACACGCGGTACTGTGTCTCAGCATTAGAATTTTCCGGACGAATATCATTTGAAGATAAGAATGGACATACATATTTCCAATCAGATGACTGAAGAATGTTAGGATACGTTTTTTAACTCTTTACGTTAACGTTACCGATCTACTGAACCACAGACTTAGATAGCCAGTCTAATTATGTGACTAAACCAAGCTCTGCCTATCATGAGACAGACCTAACACAGGGACCTTATTCGAACAAAGTGTAGAAGAGATTGATGCACATTCATTTTTGTTACAAACCGCTCAAAGAAAGTGTCCGATTAGATTAAACCAATGTGAATAACGTCTGCGTTGCTGCTTGTTCAGATAAGGACCTAGATAATCTAATTCCGTGCTCAGATATGAACATTTCGTAATACGTTCTTGACGTATGCAGATCTGAGACATATGTTACCTAAGAGACGTGCTGATGATTTAAGTCTCAAGCTTCACTGACAAGATAAACATTTACTTGTAATTTACTTGTACTCGAATCATATGTGTGAGTTCACCACGGGAGGGCGGAGTTACCGATACTAAAGGTGTGGTTTTTACCTTCGGCAATAACAAGACTGAGACTAGGTAAAACCAAACTTAACGACAACATAATTATTATGAATAAACAATATCACCTAACTGTCCAAATTGTAACGCAAACGAAACAATAGAACATGTCTTTTGGCACTGTTACAAACACAAAGAAGCAAGGAAAGAATTAAGAAAAGAGTTAAATGAAAATAATATTCCAATTACATCAATTAAAGTCCTTCTGGCAATGAAAGAATCAGAAAGATCGACTATATGAACAGAATTTAGAGGCATGCACCCGAGACCATTGGTCAAAGGGAAAGAACTCTTATGAAACTTTTCCCTTTTTATCTATAAACGTGAATAGTCTCACGAAATCCAGATTTTTGGCTTTTTCATAGTTTTTTTATGAAAACACCGAGAAAGAAAACACCTTTTTTCTATGCCTTATCCGTTTAAGTTTATTGTTAACAGATTCTTATATCTTTAAAATGCTATATCACAGAAATTAGAAATCAATCAGCAAAATAATAATCCTTTGCCGTCCTACAAACAAGGGAAGTAGATTAGAAGTGACATACCAGACACCCTGCGGGTGGGACAGTCACGTATAGCAACATATATACTAGACACCCTGCAGGTGGGAACGTCACTTATACCAACCTATATACCAGACACCCTGCGGGTGGGAAAGTCACGTATAGCAACATATATACTAGACACCCTGCAGGTGGGAAATTCACGTATAGCAACATGTATACCAGACACCCTGCGGGTGGGAAAGTCACTTATAGCAACATATATACCAGACACCCTGCGGGTGGGACAGTCACGTATAGGAACATATATACCAGACACCCTGCAGGTGGGAACGTCACTTATACCAACCTATATACCAGACACCCTGCGGGTAGGAAAGTCACTAATAGCAACATATATACCAGAAACCCTGCAGGTGGGAAAGTCACGTATAGCAACATATATACCAGACACCCTGCAGGTGGGAAAGTCACTTATACCAACATATATACCAGTCACCCTGCAGGTGGGAAAGTCACTTATATCAACATATACACCAGACACCCTGGAGGTGGGAAAGTCACTTAAAGCAACATATATACCAGACACCCTGCAGGTGGGAAAGTCACTTATAGCAACATATATACCAGACACCCTGCAGGTGGGAAAGTCACTTATAGCAACATATATACCAGACACCCTGCAGGTGGGAAAGTCACTTATAGCAACATATATACCAGACACCCTGCAGGTGGGAAAGTCACTTATAGCAACATATATACCAGACACCCTGCAGGTGGGAAAGTCACTTATAGCAACATATATACCAGACACCCTGCAGGTGGGAAAGTCACTTATAGCAACATATATACCAGACACCCTGCAGGTGGGAAAGTCACTTATAGCAACATATATACCAGACACCCTGGAGGTGGGAAAGTCACCTTTAGCAACATATATACCAGACACCCTGGAGGTGGGAAAGTCACTTATAGCAACATATATACCAGACACCCTGGAGGTGGGAAAGTCACTTATAGCAACATATATACCAGACACCCTGCAGGTGGGAAAGTCACTTATAGCAACATATATACCAGACACCCTGCAGGTGGGAAAGTCACTTATAGCAACATATATACCAGACACCCTGGAGGTGGGAAAGTCACTTATAGCAACATATATACCAGACACCCTGGAGGTGGGAAAGTCACTTATAGCAACATATATACCAGACACCCTGGAGGTGGGAAAGTCACTTATAGCAACATATATACCAGACACCCTGGAGGTGGGAAAGTCACTTATAGCAACATATATACCAGACACCCTGGAGGTGGGAAAGTCACTTATAGCAACATATATACCAGACACCCTGGAGGTGGGAAAGTCACTTATAGCAACATATATACCAGACACCCTGGAGGTGGGAAAGTCACTTATAGCAACATATATACCAGACACCCTGGAGGTGGGAAAGTCACTTATAGCAACATATATACCAGACACCCTGGAGGTGGGAAAGTCACTTATAGCAACATATATACCAGACACCCTGGAGGTGGGAAAGTCACTTATAGCAACATATATACCAGACACCCTGGAGGTGGGAAAGTCACTTATAGCAACATATATACCAGACACCCTGGAGGTGGGAAAGTCACTTATAGCAACATATATACCAGACACCCTGGAGGTGGGAAAGTCACTTATAGCAACATATATACCAGACACCCTGCAGGTGGGAAAGTCACTTATAGCAACATATATACCAGACACCCTGCAGGTGGGAAAGTCACTTATAGCAACATATATACCAGACACCCTGCAGGTGGGAAAGTCACTTATAGCAACATATATACCAGACACCCTGCAGGTGGGAAAGTCACTTATAGCAACATATATACCAGAAACCCTGCAGGTGGGAAAGTCACTTATAGCAACATATATACCAGACACCCTGCAGGTGGGAAAGTCACTTATAGCAAAATATATACCAGACACCCTCCAGGTGGGAACGTCACTTATACCAACATATATACCAGACACCCTCCAGGTGGGAAAGTCACTTATAGCAACATATATACCAAACACCCTGCAGGTGGGAAAGTCACTTATACCAACATATATCCCAGACACCCTCCAGGTGGGAAAGTCACTTATAGCAACATATATACCAGACACCCTGCTGGTGGGAAAGTCACGTATAGCAACATATATACCAGACACCCTGCAGGTGGGAAAGTCACCTTTAGCAACATGTATACCAGACACCCTGCAGACTAAATTAGGTTAAAATCCCTAAATCCCTATGGTAAAAGAAGGATATTAAAGGTTTTACCTCTATTTCCCCTATTGGGCCACACCCACCATTTATACAAAATTGAGTCTCCTTGGCCCCAGGATGCTCCAGACTAAATTAGGATAAAATCCTTTAATCCCTACGGTAGAAGAAGGATTTTCGAGGTTTTACCTCTATTTCCCCTATTAGGCCCCGCCCCTCTGTNTACCTCTATTTCCCCTATTGGGCCCCGCCCCTCTGTCCCCAGGGGGCCACACCCACCGTTATACAAAATTGAGTCCCCTTGGCCTAAGGATACTCTAGACCAAATTTAGTCAAAATCTACTTGGCCGTTCAGGACTAGTAGCGTTTTAAAGGAAAAGTTGACGGAAGGACGACGGACGGACGCTGCGGTATGGTATAAGCTCACCATGGTCCGTCGGACCAGGTGAGCTAATAAAAACAAAGCTTACGTCAAATCAAATGAGTAAAAGTTGTAGCATTATATAAGTTGAAGAACACTGTTTATTTTAAAAGGTATGTATAAAAGTATAAGGCAATCTGATAACAAGAAAACAAGTTTTTACGATACCCTTGAGTTTCATTTTTGTTTTTAAATTTAGTTTAGCTGTCTACATTATACATGTACTATGATGCAAGTATTGTTTCCTTCCTCCACCTCCTCATATTTGCTGTGCTAACAGAACTTTGACCCAGTGACCTGCATGACTTCTTGTTGAACTCCGACCAACTTTTACTTCATAATGTCATAACAAACTGATCATCAGAGAAAAGATACAAAATTTGACAATGATCCTTGGACCTAAAGACCTTGAAGTTTGACCTTGCTGTCAATGAAATGGGATAGAAGGCAAGTAGGAAACAGATATACATCTTATGATTTGATAGCGGTAAAACACAATCCAGCTGATAGCTGTTTACATTACACATGTACAATGTACTATGATGTGACTGAATTATATTTGAAGTCACACATTTGAGATGACCTACTGGTTGTGTTTTTCTGCAAAAAATGTCTGCATCTCCTATTACTATTCATATGAATGCTTAAATCAACATAGTTTCTTGCCGTTGGAATCAAATGCACAATCAAGATGTCAACAAATTGAAGAAATTGAGATTTGTTTCATTAATTGACTTCATACCGTGGTTGAAGGACTTCACAAGAACATTCATGCCAAAAATTAGAGTCGTCTAGCATTACCTAATTGAATCATGGACCACTGAAGAAACCTGCACCAAAACATACATGTATCAAAAATTTGAAAAAAAAATGAAATTAATTCCACAAATTGAATCAAACTCATCATTTTAGACCCATAAGAACATTCATGGCAAAATTTTACATATAGACCGCTGGAGAAACACACACCAAAACTTGAACCGAAAATATCAGTCCAAAAAATGTAGAAAAATTGGAAAAAAAGAAATTCTTTTCATTAATTGAATCCATACTGTGATTGAAAGACTCCACAAGAACATTCATACAAAAAAATAGGGTCATATCACATTCTCTAGACGGAACTGTAGACACACACCAAGATGGATAGATGCATAATATGCCTATCAAACTTCGACGGACGTATCACAAAAAGCAAACAAAGCCTGTGTAGCTATACAATTAATTCAAATTAAAACATTGAACCTATAGTTCAAATTGTGAGTGTACTTTCTTTGAATTATATACAAAGTCCAAATTGAAAAATAACAACCCATGCCATTCTGGCTAGGATAAAGGGAGTACTGTTCTCCTCTATTAATATGCAGATATAAATACTAAATGTATTTATGCATAATTATATATATCTGAGAATGTCTAGATTTTCAGTAAACTTTTTGTTATTTCATTTTTCCCCCTGATACTGCTGAAACATGGACCAATCCGTGTACTTTATCTGTTTCCAGTTGATATTCTGCAAATATTTGGATTGTTTCTTTGCTTTCATCACCAACTGCTTCCTCGGTGGCTTCTTGTTTTTAATAACCGTGGGTAAAATCAAATTTTCAATGGCACTGCGTTCTGGCTGCCATTGTATTCTTGTTCTTTTCAAATGTGGGTGTGCTGAAGAAGAAAAACAATTAACTGCCCATTTTTAAATGATGACAGATCAATTCAATGACTTGTTTTACTTTTCAACTATATTTCACCTTTGCTAAAATTACTGAATACAAGATATCACATTTTGAGTCTCAGCTGGACCTTTGTCTAAGAAACTGGCTCATTATATATGAATACCCCATAGAATATATCAAGGTTGACATCTTATCGATATGACAATTTTTGCATACATGTTGCTTAACAGAGAGTAAATACATTTAAGGAAAAGTAAACAGTTGTATTGAGTACATCTAATCTTCAGATTATATATGAGGATGAAATCAACAATATCTTAATTACTTCCAACATGTGCCCTATATTCCTGTAGGAGTAATTTTACTTACATGTACTAGATATCTCCATTTCTGATTCAGAATTGTCTACTTTTCTGGAATCATCACTGAGAACTGAAAAAGAAAACAGCAGCTGATAATTGTTCCTTTAGAATAATCTACAACTGAAGGTTATGAGGGGACCTTAACTGATTGTTGATCTGCAGTGTGTACACTGTACAGCTATTTAACCATTTCAGTATTTACTACCAGCTTATACCAGTAACAAATATCATACTGAACATGTCAGCAAAGTTTCATGAAGTTCCCCTTAGTACCTGACCAAACATGCGGTACCAAACCTAAAAATACAAAATACTAAATGGCTATCAGCAGCCATGTTGAATGTCCAATCAAACTCAACTGTCATGCACTGCAAGCTATGCATCCTTTCCCAGCAGTTTAAAAATCACACAAAACTGACCTAATCCTATTAACCCTTTCACCACTGTAGACCATAATGGACTCGTCCAGATCAATGCATGGTAGACTCTAGTAAAGTTACATAGGGGTGAAAGGGTTAAAACTGAATATTTAAAGACTTTAACTTTAAGTTTCATTAACCTTTTAGAAAAATAAACCTTATGCAAAAAAAAATAAAAAATCTCTGTGTTTACATCAGGCGCAATATCAGGCCTCTGGACCTTGACCTTATGGTTATTGAGAAGAAGTTGAAAATGTAAATTGTTTACGACGGACGACGGAAGACGACGGATAAAAGGCGATCGCAATAGGTCGTCTCAGGTGATCTAATAACTATCTTTGCAAACAGGATCTGGTCATCGATTGAGTCCAAAAATGCATCCCACCAAATGGCACCCCCATACCATGGGAGTGGCAAAATATGAAATTATTGTGATAAATAGTTGCCGAGGGAAATGTGACGAAATGTTCTTATGGACAGATGGACAGAGGTAAACGGGTATAACCCCCACCACCACCAGTTTGGGGCGGGGAATAAAAATGCAATTTTTCAATTTGATGAACTGATGAGGAAGGCTGCATCATTGCATAAGCTCAGTTACACCTTGTGCATCAGTGACTTAAGGCTTACCTTTATATTCCGGGTCCTGATCAGAATCATATTGTTCACTGTCCAGATCACATTTCTTTGTAAATTTGTTTTTGTGGAGAACTTTTTTTGGTCTTTCTAAAATAGAAAACCCCCACATATTACAGCTCTCTACAAAAGGAAATAATGTGGAATTATATGTTTTCACAACTACTTTCCAATCTATCTACAGCATAATATTCAATCTTTGTCCATTTAGTCAGACTTTGTTACATAAAGCCAAAATTTGACAACTTAACCTAATTATTTACTATATATACTTTCAAGACTCAGCTTTACATGACTCTGATGGCTATTCAAGTAAAAAGTTCTAAACAGAACAGAATCAAGATCATCATGTCCTGTAACAATATGGGTACCAAGTATAAGTCACATTTTGTGATAGATCAACGACTGATAAGGAAGAAGGCACAATTGCTAAGCTCATAGTCACTTGACTTGCATACAAGAGTTTATCAAATTTGATGTTTGTTATCACCTCTTCCTGCTTTGATCAAAAGAATGACTGGGCTCACAAAACATAAAAAGATTGGCCTATTTTGTAACAGAATTTGAAGAATCTGACATTTGACTAGGATCTATATATCAAATTCTCAAAATCTACTTCTAATCGGCAATGAGGTGAAAATTTAGAAGACAGCATTTAGTGACTGCACCACCTTTAGTTTCTGAGAAAGTGTGCTGAACACAAATCTTAAATTTTGACATAGCTGAAAATGGAAACAGGGAACAAATGTCTTGCCTATGAAGTCAGATCAAAATTACTTGATACCTTTATTCTCAGCATCTTGATCAGAATCAGACTGCTCTGAGACACTAGCAGCACTTCTCTTCACAACCGGTTTTCTTTTTTTGATTACTTTTGGTCGTCTTTCTAAGATAGAATATCCCAACAAAACATATAGCTGGACATATAAACACAAAAACATTTAAAAATATGTAACTATTTCCAAATACCTGGTAATTCAAACAAGAGGCCAAATGGGCCTGCATTGCTCACCTGGTATTCATCTTAAGACTAGTTACCCTACAAGTGGACTAGTATAAAGCTACACGCAAAATATCAGTATCTATGACTCCAAGTCATTAAAAACTTATTTGACCCCTATGACCTTGAAATTCTAACATAGTCATAAAGCATAAGTCTAACAATACTTCTAGTCAAATATGGCTGATATCCATTAATTAGTATCTGACAAGATGTTGCTTAAATCAATATAGCCAAATTACCCCCTTTTGGCCTGCAGCCCTTTAGTATCGACCCCCTCAAAGGTAACTAAGCCGCTGCTTTTGTACATGTTGAATCCCCACCTTGACGGACACTTCATAGCATAAGCTCACCTTGGTTCTTTAGACCAGACGAACTAAAAACATAATCCATCAACAATCTTATTGCATTTTAGTTCTGTTACTTATAAAACAAATTTGTTGCTTTTGTCTTCTTTGCTTTCACAACATTGCATTGACAAAATACAACAGATCAAACAATACAGAAATTGTATTGAGGTATAATAAACCTTGGCATTCTTTATCCCCATTATGCTCATCATTTTCATTTTCACCGACAGAATTTGCTGCTTGGGCTCATGCAGGATCATTTGCAAGAGTGCAAGTTTGTATGTCAAGGAAAAACATTCATACCATTACACTGACAAAATACAGAACAAATATACAGATACTGCAATATACAAATATATACAGAGTCTACGGAGTGTGGACAATAAGATACTGTCAGCCCTGAGAGGCACATTCCATTGTTGTGACACTATGAGGAAATTATCATTTAAACAAAATTGTATTTATTACTTGCATTGTCATGTCTTCAAAGAAAAAAAGGTTAAGAACTATGCTAATACATTATTTTGCAACAGACAATTATAATACAATGTCATTTAGCCAATTTGCTCTGTGATATAGGTTAGAATCTGACTACTACCATTTCATATCTAATAGACAAAATGTATCAAAATGTGTTACTGTAAACGTGGACATTTACTCAAGGGGGACATTTACACAAAATACACTGAAGTCATTCAACCGCGTAAATTTTCCCCAGGCGTATGGTTTTGTGATATGCAGTTTATTTATTGGACATAAAGTAAGGTAAATCAATTGCGGAAATAGCCCCCATGTGTATAGTTTACATAACAAAATCACGAAATATCCTCATTAACAGTATTTTCCTAGGAAGACTATTATATATATATAGTAAACTTTACTCCCTCCTCAAGGAGACCAGAGGATCCTGAGTTACTGAAATTTACAATTTGGGGATGAAGCTTTTAGAGATCTTTCAACACACAATGAGAATTTGACTGTACAACAACTGAGTCTGGAGATGAAGATCTGTAAAACTTGAAATATTTTCCCCATTTCAGCTATGACCCTCCAGCCCCTGGGGCGAGGCAGAATCTTATTTTCCCAAAACATCTAATTACAATTACATCAGAATTATTCCAATGAAATTTGACTTCTTCCTGTTGAAAATGGATAAAATTTGTATATCCAAAATTGTTATTTCCCTGTTCAAATCTAAAATGGCCACCTGTCAGCCATATTGTTTTCTAGTCATAACTATGAACCAATGGAAACCTACATATGAAATATGAGAAAGATCATTCACTCAACTTAAGTCATATAGGTTGTTTATGATACATGCACCCTGAGTGCCCTTTGACCTTTTGAACTGAAAATCAACAAGGGTAATCTATTATCAATGACAAACCCACATATAACATATCAACACTATCAAGCAAAGTGGTTTTCAATATATTGGGTGGACACCTATTGTGTAGGTTTAAGCTACTGTGTTGCACCCAGTGATCTTTGACCTTTTGACCTGAAAAACACAATAGATGTCATCTACTACCAATCACAAACCCACATATGAAATATAACAATCCAGTAAAAGGTGGTCTACTAACCGACAGACATGTGCAAAGCAATAAACTGCCACTTCTTCAAAAGAGGGCATATAAATACATCCTGTATAATATAATAATATAAACTGAAATCATACTCCTGTTGGCCCAGATGTCAGCATGCAGAAGGTTATTAATGTGAGAGGAAACAGATGACCCAATTCCTTTTCATGTCTGACCAGGGAATCGAATCCTTCACCATGCCACCTGACCACCCTATTATCAACAAGGCACTTGCAGGCTTTGGAGGCCTAAACAGTTTTTGTCTCAGTGTATACAAAATATTGAATTATATCTGATAAAAGATCATTTAATTATACCACAGCATCTACTTGTAATATTATTAATCAACGCAGTCATAGAAATGCAATACTATTACAAGTAGTTCAAACACTTTGAATTCAGCCTTCATTTGGTATCAAGAATATATTTACAGCAGATTATTCCACAGAGACCAGATCAATACAAACGGCACTGCACTAGGTGCACTGGTAAAATGTCTTTCACAAGTAAAATATATAAGTTTCGAAGAGATTATAGAATGGAAACTGATATTGTTTTAAACTTTTTAGCTTGCTGGAGATAACCGTCATAAAAACTTCTGGAAAGAAATAGGATTTTTTTTCCTGTGTCACAGTTGCCATATACTTTTGAAGTGCTGTTGATGTCACAAGATTTGGCTGTTCTAGGTCTGCCTCTCTACAAGCCTTACTTACACAGTCATACCCTCGCAAATGTGTGTCCTCTTTCTTCAATAGATACAGAAAAACATTTAAATGAGAGCTGCATTTGTGTTTTTTAAGAGAATGAAAAAATACTGGTACTATATTTAAAACACATATTTGAAAATTTCTTCTGAAAAACAAATCATATAAGAATAAAACAAACTCTATCTAACAGACAGCAGAGATATTTAGAACACCAACTTAATTGTAAATTTACAATTAACTTCTGTCTTTATTTCAATCTTTATTCAAAACTCAAACTACTAATATATATATATTGACCATATAAAAAAACAAGTGCTATTGTAACAGGGCCCATTACACAAGTCTCCCAAATGACCCATGCTCTCGTAATCAATGTTTTTCGTGTCATGCCTTATCTTAAGACCAAATTTGTTTGGAATCTGACAACATTTAGATTTCGACCAATCAGAAGCCTTCCATTAGTGGCCATATTGTTTTATCAGGAAATGGACCCCACCCATGTTTTCCTTAGGTCAGACAATCCCCATATACCAATTTTCATTGAAATCAGATTATATTTAAATTTTGAATTATGAGTAATTAACCTCCCTTTGCGGCCATTTCAGAAAAAAAGAAAACTGCTTGTACACCGCCTTGCATACATGGACACTCATGTAAAGTTTTGTTAAATTCCTTCAAATAGTTTTTTGAGAACCATGTCCGAAACCTCGCTGGCAGAAGAAAGAGGAAGAAATAAGAAACAGAGCAAAAACAATAAGTCCCCCCCCACTTTGTTTGGGGGACAAAACAAGCAGCAAACCTTTATTTAGAATTTACATTTGTTCTCCTCATATCATCATTATTTTCCTATTTCTTTTTCCCAACTACTACATTAAAGAAAACATGCTGAAAAATATGTGTCAGGTTCAAAATAATTAATACAGATCGATAGATCAATACACAGGTATTACAAATTTCTGCATTAATGAAGCATTTCTTGACTCCTATTTTCTGTGATGGAACTGAACAAGGGGAGCCAAACCAAAACATATACATGTACTTACTTTTTCAAATACATAAGGATTGTTGGGCGATCTGTGATACTTTATCAGTGTTTCTAGACCTTTGACCATATTTGGTGTTAGAAGTATTGGTACTTTCCTGTTCTGTTTCCCAACAACTTCAACCAGCTGCATTCTGCAAATATTAAATATATATGTATAAAATGTTAGCCACAGTGATCATTTTTAATGTAAGGCCAAGGTTTGTTTATTACCCCTAATATGTCAAACTGGAACGGGTAACCAAATACCCTGTCCCAAAATGTATGTCGATATAGTTATTGATTTTTCAGTCAGAAATGTCACTCCTGATTGTTGTTAGACAGCTGACCCGGAAAGCACTCCTGATTAGCATACTTTGAGTATACATACAAATGTAGTATAAGATGGATTGCATCTATCCAATTAATTTTGCAAACATAATTAATATTTCCAACTGGCAGTTTGTTGAACAATGTAACTCTTCATTCACCAGCAACTATCACTGTGTTCCAAACGGAAGTGATTCGCAGAAATATGTGCGCATAGCATTGACAACAAGTTGGTGTAAAGTGAAACTGTATGCAATCTTCCATTTGGAAAGTTAGCAATATATATGTAGCCAGTTCATAAAGGTTTTGAGAATTTGCAATGTTTTATAACCATATGTATGATGTATAAGTATTGAGTTATTTTTGTTTATGCAATTAGTGAATTAAAAAAGGGCTTTTGATAGCTCTATATATTTCTGGTACCAAAAAAATTAGTTACCCAGGTTCGGTTTGGATAAGAACGCAAGATTACCCGACCGGTATTATTTCTAAGAGTAATTGCAGCCCTACAAACTATAGGCTATGATGAGTTACAACACTTGACCAAGTTGAAAAAAATAAATGACAGGGCTGAGGTGTTACTGGCCCTTTTGTGAGAAAACCTGTGTATATCAAACTGGTTATATAAACATCTAAAGTTTACCTAAAAATGTTGTATGTAACATCTACAAAATGTTCTGAAGTTTTATTTAACGTTACCGTGCTGCAATCTCTTGGAAAAAAACTAAGGATAAAATTTCAGTCAAAAATTTGCATAAATATGTATATTGGATCGAACATAATTCAAATTTCAATGACAAATAGTTTTGTCACGCACAAGTATACTGAAACTTTTTTGCATGGGATATGATAATTACTTGTGTCCTACAGATGTACCTACATGTACATAGGCATGATAGATAAGTATATCATATGTCTACTGTACTTTACACAGCAGCATATAGCAAAGATAATGTAACATCACTTACTTTGTCATGAGTTCTTTTTCAAAAGCAGAAAATGTGTTGACAATCTCTGCATTGCCTTCAATATCAGATGAACCAATACGGTTTTCGAAAGATTTCACCATCATTTTTGCTGGTTCTCTTGTTAAAAGAGATTATTTTAGCAAGAAGAATCTCTGCTAGTTTCCGCACTGTTCCTCTTTCTGTTTCCTTTCCACCTTCTAGCTTTTTCAGGAGAATTAATATCTGATCATCCAAGTGCTTCTGGAAAATTCAAAATTTTCTTATTATGCAATGCACGTGTAACAACAAATCGTTTTATAACCAGAGATCTGCACGTGTAACAACAAATCGTTTTATAACCAGAGATCTGCACGTGTAACAACAAATCGTTTTATAACCAGAGATCTGCACGTGTAACAACAAATCCTTTTATAACCAGAGACCCAGAAGAGGCCTGTACTGCTCACATGTTCTTATGCAATGATGGGAAAATATCCCAACTTCATGTCAATGATTCTCTAGAAATTTCTATATGGAGTTTTAACATATATATATCTCTGTGGCACTGAAAGAAATTTAAGGTCATTAATATGACGAAATTTCATATCACCACTTTCCATGCACCTGTTGACCAAATTAATATTAAGTCATTGGATATTCCAGAATCTGACAAGAAGAAATTCAACATTTTGTGACACAATTGAACAACATAACCTTAGGGGTATGTCAATGTCATTTACCATATATGAGGAATCTAAAGTTTAAAGCACTCTAATCTCGGGTACCTACTGGTTAAGTATTAGTACACTAGTCCTAAATCTTTTAAGAAAAAGGTGTTAAAAAGTAACACGAGATCCTAGAGGAATCTTGGCATCCACCATTGAGACTGATCTTTTCCCTTCTTTCTCCTCCTCTTTATCATTTTATAACATCAGAAACCTGGATATTAAGTCTATAAAAGATCTAAGAACTATCTCAGATACATGTACATCAATAACACACTTCTGCTGTAAAAATCCATTTGGGCAATTAAGTACAACAAAGGACAAGGTAAATCTTCAGATAAAATTTGAAAAGATTGATATCTTGTCAAAATTCAAGATGGTCACTTGTCAGCCAATTTAATTCTGACTGGTTCCAAAATGGAAAATGCACAATTTAAGACCAAGGGTAACCTACACATGAAATTTGTGAAAGATCCCTTCTGTACTTTCTAAGAAATATTGGTAACAAACTTCAATTTTCAACATTCAAGATGGACACCTGTCAGCCATGTTGCTTTCCTATCAGTCCCAAAATGGAACATGCACAACTGAAGACCAAAGGAAACCTATACATGTAGTTTGAGAAAGATCACATCAGCACTTTCTGAGAAATAGCGGTAACAAACTTCAACTGTCGAAATCCAAGATGACCGCATGTCGGCCATTTTGTTAATCTGATCAGTCGCAAAACTAAGTGTGCACAACAAGGTACCAAGAGAAACTTAGACATAAAATTTGAAAGATTCCTCAAGTACTTTCAGAGAAAAAGCGGTAACAAAAATTGTTTACAGACAGACAGACGACAGACAACAGACATACAATGGACCACGTGCATGGACGAAGGATGATTTGATTAGCTGATGATGGTGGGCTAAAAAGTTGATTGAAAAGGGATCTATCACCATACAAGCTAGCTTAAAAGGACTGAAATATTTTAGAAGAAGTTATAATTCTCCACTTTCTCCACTGAGTCCAGCTGTAATTTTTCAGAATATATCACTGAAGAAAACTAAAGCTTATATATTCAATTAAAGGAATTAAATGATGTGCTTCAGTTTATTTCTTTCCTAATTTATGCTCTTTTAATGTACTCTATATGACTTTATCGCTGTGCCACTGGCACAGCTGCACATGATTATGTTTTTTAATGGAAATCCTCCGTGACAGCAATATATATACCCCCAAAATTCTATCAGGGGGATAAAAATCAGGGATGTCTTTAGATTGTGTTGTTACATTAGTTGTATCTGATATGGATTCTTACATTACATCACATCCTGATATAATATATATAACAGACCAAACAAATTGACAAAGCACACGGCATACTTATTACAGGTATCTTAACAGCTTAATGACCAGTCAATACATACCTTCAGTTTTATAAGATCTCTTGTTAATGGCAAAGTATCCTTCTTGTTGTATTTGGCTTCAGATGAACTTTGCCTCGCAATACTGGAAATTTCATCTGTCCATTCAGCATCAAAGAGAGTTATGAAGTCTTCACTTTCTTTCCTTTTAGTTTCATCAACAGACCTGATGCTTTGTGCACGCTTTAATGCAGCAACCTAAATACAGTAATACAATTGTTCACATACTGCAAAATTCACAAAATTACAAATAAATATTTTTTTGATAAATTCAAACAATTGTAACTACTGATTTAGAAAACAAAATGCTTACAAATGCCAGAACGAAAGTAAACATCATGAAGAAACTTAAGAAATAATTTTACAACACAATAACAATATCAATAAAAGGTTTTTAAGCAAATCTGAGAAAACTCCTTTACGACATTAAGAAACATTAAGGGTGAAACGATAAACTTTAGTAACGATANCGGTCCCACAACTGTATCATAATAAAAGGCCTATGATACGATAGGTATTACTATATGTTTTAATATATATATTATTAGTCAGTCAGCGAGTATCAAACACTGCCTACACAATTTTGGCTGGTTGTGTGCAGGACAAGAAAAATATTTTGAAATCTACTGGCCCGAAGCACCGAAATGAAAATGTATTGGTCAAAGATTTATTTGATTTTTTGTTAATTTATTCAATTTTGAATAAAAAATCAAATGCATTAATAATTTTGTGCATATTTATTCAATTGTGTCAGGAGTGAATTACGAACAAGAACATTTAAAATGTCATGGATGGAAGAATTATTGCATGCTCTATCACTTATGTAATTTTCCCTAAAATCTGCCTTTTTCCATCTAAAAGTTTGCATGATTTGAAAAGTAAAGCTTCTATAGTGTAAAAATATAAACAGACCTACCGTCCGTGTCATGTTTTGTTACGGTACATCTGACCCAAACACCGTATCATGACTGGCAAGACATGTTTTTCTGTAATTTAACCATAGAAAAGAGTTGCAGTAGTGTCGACATTACAAAGATGCTCTCGGCAAACCGAACAAAACATCACATGGCTACTTTTTCTCTCTGTCTAAATGAAACCACAGACTTTTTTTCTGTTATAGACATTTGAAGTGTTCCGATTCGTTTCGCACTTTTAGCAAAAGTTGATCCTGTTTCGTTATTTGACTTTTGCTCACACTTCTAGTTCATTTGTCCTCATTTTCCTCATTTGTCTCGACTTTTATTGTCAAATTTTAAATCAGAAAACTTGCCCATGTCTACTACGACAAGTGGTTGCTAATTATAAGCGCTCACACGATCTTTGTCAAGGTCTCGCAAGTGCTTGGAAAGCACACACTATTTTCAGGAAATAATCAAAGCATGAAACTGATAGGAACACTTGTACAAATCTATTTTTATTGTTAGGGATTTTTTTTTTGGTGACGTTTTTATAGAATGCAGTTATATTTTGTAAATTACTATGGTTTTAAAACTTGGAAACGGTGACATCAGCACTTACACCAGTTATCTTTTGAAAACTATTGATTTTTTTAAATATAAAATCAAATTCATACCTTCTTCAGTAGCTCCCCAAGCTTCGACGTAAGTGCTGGCTTCAGGAGTTTTTGTGTTCCGTTGAGAGTTTTTGATCCTGCTACTCCACATATGTTACGTGTTGCTGTGATACACTCATCTAATGCTGATGGTTTAATGAAATCTACCAGAGTCAGTGACTGGTTTGGTCCATGTTTTTTCAATTCCATCAAAAGCCTGGCTAGATTTCTCAACCTTCCCCGAATATCTGCACCTCTTTCTTTTCCAAGTCTATGGAATAAAACTTTGCCCAGTTTTTGAATCAGAGGATCAGTCTTAACACACTTGGATACGTCATCATGAAGCATTGGGAAAATGATGAACTCATAAAAGTCTTTGTTGGTTTCTGTCTCCTGCCTTGCTTCCAGTAATAAAAGCATTCCTTCTTTAACACTCTTTCTCTCACCAGCTGCATTATTCTGGTCTAAATCTTTCAAGGGGTTTGTTGAAAATGGACAAGATTTTACATGTCTCCAAATTAAAGCTCTTTCTTTATGAAAAACACTAAACAATATCTGCAGGGAACATAGTCCTCAACATCATGTGTTTCATTCTTCAAAGGTCAAGGTCAAAGGACAAGTAAAACACCTTTCTTCTTTTGGATAACTTCAATATTGTGCTTGAAGTCACCCATGTTTCTGACCTTATCCAAAATTCTTCGGCGAGATTTCTCTATTAGCTTCTGATTCTCAGATTTCAACCCCTGATTTCCTTTCTTCCGATTTGCTGGCAACTCTGGCAAGCTTGCTATTTCCATTTCCTCACAATGCTGTGTCTGAAGATGTCTGGATATCTTTTTTTCTTGTTCCCCGCAATAAAAGCAGGCATGAATTTTACCATAATCAATTTTTGTTCGGACCAGTTTGTCAATTGACTGAACCATAATGTCTGATGATGGAGTATCTCTGATTGTACATTTGCCACTTGTATTATCACCATGCCCTAAAACATAACAGATACATTTTAATACACAATTTTACTGTATATCCCTGTAGAATACCATTAACAGTATTCATATATTAATCACATGAATAAATTCAGCATACCTAAATATATATATAGGCTGTCATAAATGTGAAAGTGCTTTTATTTAGCCAGAACAAAATTTTGTGGACATGTGAGTTTGCAGGGCCTTATATCAGATTACACTTATTACCAATAGGTATCATACAGGTACTTCATAAATATAATATTTAAAGGTTTTTAAACTCTAAAACATCAAATATTGTGAAAATATTATACCAATGCAATGAAAACACTTCAGAAGTGACACTTTCATAAAGGTAACATTGAATAAAATATTAGAGCTACATGTAGAACATTAAACATCTCTTTCAAGCCATCAATTGATGAATGTAAGAAACAAGGTATACAGAGTACATTTGTGCGACTACACTAGCTGTGCTATGACTTTACCTTCACTGTTACTGTCAGTTTGTTCATCTGTAGACCATGCTATCCTATCTGGCTCATCTGAGCTGGCCACTACTCGATTACAAAGCACCTGCAATTTATAGAAAGTCAGAAATATTCTCCGGGAGTAAAGAAATATTATGTGGTGTCTCTTCACCAGGAGTTTTTTTAGAAAGAGTTTACAATGGTCTATAGTTAAGGCAGAACTGTTTCAAATGTATGACTATCATAATATTTAGGTTGAAATAAGTGTTGAATTATTTATCACAAATCCAGATTTTTTTCCTGAAGATTACATAATGTCAGGTTCTGCAAATAAAAAAATCCACTCATCATGAGTCCATCAACTTACCGGAAAAATATCACTTAGGTTATCATCGTCGAAATCCGAGTCATCTGAGGCTAAAAAAGATAACAAACGGAAATACAATGTATTCATTTTTTGTGACTTTTCGACAGTATTTCCTTACTCGGATTGGGACTACAAGGGACTTCATAGTTCAAATATCACTAACCTGATCAAAGTACTGAAAGTTATCTCATGAAACAATTATTTGATCTTTAAAACATATTTGACTGAAGTAGAATACAACTTAATATAACTCCAACAAGAGGCTTCACAGAGTCTTCAAATGTTTGCCTTCAATTATCTAGAACCTCTACAACTAGCTGAAAGACTACTTAGGTGTAACAATTTTTAGCACATGCATTAAGACTAGTTTGGTATATGTGTTAGTGTTCCCTTCTTATTACAGAAATGAATTTGAATCTGGGTCACTTTTTTAAGCGAAATTTGCTGCATGTAATTAAACTTCATTTTTTTTGTGAAATTTGATCCCCCCTTACCACAATAATATTAATGCTGAGTTTAATCTATAGAGAATAATACATGCCTTTTTCCATATCACACCCAGTATCACCCCGAGACTGCAATATCAGCCCAAGGGCCGAAGGCCCGCGGGCTGATATTGGTCGAGGGTTGATACTAGGTGTGATATGGAAAAAGGCGTTTTTTATTCTGTTTATTACATACTTACTAATAAAAACTACTACCTTATGATTTATTTTCATTTTTGAAATATTGAAAAACGAATTTTTTTCCAAATGGGGTGTGATATGGGTTTTGCGGGCTGATATGGGTTTTGGGGTGTGATACGGCGGGGCTGATACGGGTTTTGGGGTGTGATACGGCGAGGGCTGATATGGGTTAGAGCAATTGTGTCGTATCGCATATACAAAAAAAACGTATTTATTAGTAAGTATGTAATAAAGGTAAATAATGCATAAAATATAGGTTGCAATGACCATCATTAGTGCTGCAGTGTAGAATCCCTCATGATGAATGTTGATATAAATTTTCATGACTGGGTGGTAATGCTCAGTTACAGAGAAATGGAGTTAAATCCTAATTCTATCCAGACAGAAATATGGATAGGATACGGACAGGGTAAACTCTTACCTAATTTAATTTAAGGCATAAAAAATCATTGCTTTACCTGGAACTTGATCTGTTAAATCAAATTGGTCATTCCGAATCAGCAAAGTCAAATCACTCTCAATTTGGATATTGGACATAGTTGGTGGATCATCCTGGATATTGTCACTTTGGATATTTGACATAGTTGATGGATCATCCTGGAGACTGTCGCTTTGGATATTGGACATAGTTGATGCATCATCCTGGAGACTGTCGCTTTGGATATTTGACATAGTTGTTCGATCATCCTGGAGACTGTCGCTTTGGATATTTGACATAGTTGTTCGATCATCCTGGAGACTGTCGCTTTGGATATTTGACATAGTTGATGGATCATCCTGGATATTGTCACTTTGGATATTTGTCATAGTTGATGGATCATCCTGGAGATTGACACTTTGGATATTGGACATAGTTGACAGATCAACCTGGATACTGTCACTTTGGATACAAGACATAGTTGGTGGATCATCCTGGAGATTGTCACTTTGGATATTGGACATAGTTGATGGATCATCCTGGAGACTGTCACTTTGGATATTTGACATAGTTGACGGATCATCCTGGAGACTGTCACTTGGGATATTTGACATAGTTGACGGATCATCCTGGAGACTGTCACTTTGGATATTTGACATAGTTGACGGATCATCCTGGAGACTGCCACTTTGGATATTTGACATAGTTGACGGATCATCCTGGAGACTGTCACTTGGGATATTTGACATAGTTGACGGATCATCCTGGAGACTGTCACTTGGGATATTTGACATAGTTGACGGATCATCCTGGAGACTGTCGCTTTGGATATTTGACATAGTTGACGGATCATCCTGGAGACTGTCACTTGGGATATTTGACATAGTTGACGGATCATCCTGGAGACTGCCACTTTGGATATTTGACATAGTTGACGGATCATCCTGGAGACTGTCGCTTTGGATATTTGACATAGTTGACGGATCATCCTGGAGACTGTCACTTCGGATTGTGGGCATAGTAGTTTCTTCCATTGGCTGTTGTAATTAATGCATTTAATATTGCATTTATTGACAATGATAATTTTGTATCTTAAATCACAATTTTTCTTCAAAATTTAAGATAAAATCTATACTGAATACTGTAAAGATGTTCATATTTCGTAATTGAGTATGGCTGTCATAGCCAGCTTGCCAGTGCTCATGATTGGTTTATTTTAATCATGTACACAACTTCATGCCATAATGAACATGTATGCATGTTATTTTAAATCATATTTCTATCAAATATTTTGAAGAAAAAAAAAGAACCCAACAATTTGCATTGGACTGAAAGAACAGTTTTTGTTTTGGTTATCTGTAAAACTTTATATTTCAATTTCTACTCAAGTTGGACTAAATGAAACTACCAAATGTTGTCTGATTCATTTACCGATGAAATTGACCAGATTAACACTGCCTGTGCCTATGACTACATGTTTTCATTAAAAAGCATAAATATGACGTTTCTTGACTGATTTTCTAGCCTGTTTATGTAGATTTTTGACGTTTTATTTTTCATATTGCTGTATTGAAATATTTACTTACACCACATTGTTCTATAGTTGTCCTTCAATAAGGGACTAAATTTTTATACATTACGCTACGGAGACTTGCACATGCCCCGGTATCAGCAACAAGACTTAATACACTTTCACAAGTTCAAATCATTGAAGAAACACATATTAACTGAAATATCAGGATTGAACCTTGCTTTGGTTGATTTCATGGGGCGATGAATTGAGTTGGTCTTGACAAACTCAACATGTACTGTTTCGATTCAAAGTTCATTAAATTTGTCTCAATACCAACTCAATTCATCACCCCATGAAATCTACCAATGTAAGGTTCAATCCTTAAATGAACATGTGTATCAAGTAGCACTCCATTCATCAACAATATTCGCGCTGCACATGAATTTGCACACCAACGGTAACGCGAAAAGCGCTATAATAATATATTATAATATTACTGCAAAAACTGCTAAAACAAGTATGTTTACACTAATATGAACACCTATCACTCACACAAAGTAGTAGGATCAATTTAATTTGGCCTCCACCATAGCAGCTGTCCTGGATTATCTAACAGTTCTGATATTCATTAAGGACTAATTTCATGTCATGTTGAAGAACCCAATACTATCATACCTACCATTAAGGGAAGCGAAGTTAACAGTTTCTATACTTACTTTCCTCAACCAATAAATAATTACAACCATCTCCTGGGCCATAGCTATATGTTAATTCTTCCCCAACATCAATGTCCTTCTTGGCAAAAAATACTGGATAACTAGTCCCATCAACCTCTACAAGTTTTGGAACTAGATTAGGTGTCAGGTGGTTGTCATTTATCAGTCTTTCAAATGATCCGTCTTCTTTAGATGAATCAATCCTATGTAAAACCAATATTCCTTTTAACTTTTCTTGGAAATGTAATGCCCACTACGTTTGCTGGTCTCTCATTTGTACAAACAACTTAAATTCAAAACCATGCCATTAATGAAAAATGTCTCATTGTGAAGAACATATATTTTGATGTAACTTAAAGAGTTTTAAATTTCAGGAAAATTCTACTCTTTTCAGTTAAGAAAGAAGTATTCTTATACAGAATCTAAGCATTCCACTTCAAGAATTTCAAACAGTTATAAAATTATTTCACATCATTTTTATACTAAAACATATGATGGCATGAAGTAGCTCTTTTAGTGTTGAATAAAAAACATTTACTTGGAACAAGATTGCACTTAATTTCTTCACATACCATATATGTTTTCTTCCTTTTCTTATTTCAAATGTGTAGGTGTCATCCTCTGGCTCCTGTTCTATATAGCCACCAGAGTAATACACTACATATTCTCCCTTTTTAATAGGTTGTTAAGCAAAGATCCCACAACCTGAATTTTTTATCATTAAATCTTGCAGTTACTCAATTTCACAAATGAAATCTGAAGCAACACTTAATACATTTTACCACAATCTTATATGCAAAGCAAAATGATATACTTTGCATACAACAAGCATTTTTAAGCTGTAATTACAATCAAACCTGCCCTAGTGGCTACCTGTAATAAATGGTCACCTGCCATTAGTGATCGCTTTGAATTCTTCCCAACGAAAACACTATATAATATAAGTACCCTTGAATAAGCAGTCACCTGTCTAACGCGGCCAACGGTCACTAGAATTCACACCTGCCACAGCATATCACTTAGTCTTAATGGCCACGAGACATTGCACCAGCAAATGTTACAGATAAATTAGTACGGTGGCGATGTGCGATGACTGTGAAAACATTGACTCTATTAGAAACAATCTCATGAACCTTTTAGCTAGCACTGCCCCCGGGGCATTAGATAGCCAAACATCAATTTGATTAACTGCGTAGCAATGATTTAGGTCTAACAATATGAGATAAACTTGGAGATTTGTTCACAATAACTTTGATCCGGAAGTGAGTTCAGAATAAAACGTAACATCTCTTTCAAGAACTCGACAGACTTCAAAACAAAAGTTATGTTCGTTGAGGGAGACGTTATTCTATAGTTATCATTAGATTGGACATAATAATGTACAAAACATTTTAGAACTATTTGTTTTAACACAGGGACTTTTAAAGAATCCTTTGTCACTTAGTTCAGGAAGACCAGTAGCAATAGGCATTATTTTCTTTGTTTGTGTTTATTACTACACGGTGTTAAGGTCAATGTTGTTATGCAAAAATGAATGGGATTTTCAGAAATGCTTTCAGGCATACCAAACTTGTTGTAACAATTACGTGATACTTACTATTTCTTTACAACATACTTGATGCAAAGTCATCATGATATCACAGTTGCAAGTGGATTCTAGTTTTAAAAATTACATACAGTCTAAGACTAATAACCAGTAGTGCAGTTAGTAGAATTGTCACTTTCTGCATAATAGACTCAACTGCATATGATCATAGTAAAATGTGTGAAATTGTATAAAAAATAACCCTGAAATCATTTACCACACAAAAGTCTCTGCATCTTACAAAATCATTGTACACAAAAAAAACAATTGCACTGAAAACATAGACAGAACTTTCATGCACATCCAAGTTGAAGTCACTACAGAAAGCTGCTGCCTGGCTGTACTCATTGTCATTAAAGAAGAGGGCCAATCCAATTGGAAATTCATTGTCCATTATTGTGCACATTATAATGGCAAAATCAAGAATTATCCTCATTTCTATGGCCAATAACTATGAAAACAATTATCCTGAACAAATCCTAAAACAAGAGATCCCAGAGGGATCTTGGCGCCCACCTTTGTACCATCTTCATTAGTTCTTTGTTAGTTCCATCTTTTCTCTTCTTTCCTCTAATCTGTTTGATCGAGTCATGTTAACAGTAAATGCACCTTGAGGTAACTTTTGATCTAAACTTAATACT